GCAATTTGCCGCGCGCGGTCTGAATCGCACGAATGGTCCGTCCCCCGCCCACCTCGCCTCCAATATGATAATATGACCGGATCTTACATCTTCAATCTTTGCGGTATGATGGAGCTCTGACTTTTACCCTATCTCGAAGATCTTGTTAACATAACATTTTCCGTGTGACAAACCTCGATTTCTCTGTGCTCGTCGCATTTCCGATCTTCCCTTAGGTAGAGCGGTTTGATATCGATTCCTTCAGGAGTGTGCCAAATCAGTTTATCCGGATCTTTTCCTTTCATAGCCTTCTTCGCCATTTTTGCCCATGTAGGGTCGATGGGCAGCGGTTGATACGTACCAGCAGAAGCAGAGCATAGTCGTAAACTCTGGAATCTGAGGGATTCAGATAAACAGAAAATCCTAGGGTCCGAGAAGCCTAATAAGGGCTACAAGTCGATCGATGCAGACCAACTCCTTGAAAGGATGGCACAAATTGACACATAAGGTTACAATATACATATACTTTATAATCGTTTGCATTTTCACATCTACAAAAGAGCAATACTCTCGTACTGACAAATCACTTGCATTGAATGAAAACCGGGTGGCTTGTCGTAAGAGATGAAGAGACATCAATGAGTAGACGATTTGCCAAAAAAATACCTACCGCTGCTCTGACCGATGCTTATATATCGTCGAAGAGGTTAGTACCAGGGAACAATAGTGATAACGGTAATTTTGCATCCTTGAAGATCAGGGGAGCGGTGGTTCTAACATGTAACACCCTATGGAACATGTTTTGACAAGTTAAGCTCAGGGTCGCCACCAAAGTAGACGTGTCAATTGTTGGTAACCGTGAACGCGACCATCTAAGGTGGTCCTCACGCGACTGCCTTCAGGTATCTGTCATTTTTTCAGCAAACTTTGATAGATTTCCAGCACTCATACGCGAGACGACGCTTACAGCTGTATACAGAGGCAAGTCAGATTTTAAAGTTACGTGAACGTGTGATACAGTAACTCAACGCGATACAGTAACCCCTTCCCCTGACATCTTCATATTATCAGAGAAAAAGAAAAGAAAAGAAGACTACGTAGCTTAACTTACCTGTTGACACTTCCTTCGACTCTTTAAGTTGAAAGTTTAGAGCTGCATTTTACAGGTAGAAAGTACAGCAAAGAACTTTAAGCTTATGAGTCAAAGAAAATATCATCAAGTTTTTGCTACCTGGCAAATGCAGCAGTAAACTTAGAAACATTCAGCTTAGAACCCGGGCTTTGACGAAGTGCCAAGTGGTGCTGCTACCACACATATGCTCCGGGATCAAACCCTGGCCCACCAACACCCCAAATCACAAAATTCAAACCCTTTGAAGTCATTCAACTTGCGGAGGCTTTGTCTGGGAGGGCTAAAACCTTGACTGGACATCAACCGACCCCTCCACTCAATGACCTCCACCACTCCCCAATTTTATTGCATAGAGCAAAAACGTTATACAGTTCTGAAAGCGAAGTCGAATAGATGATTTCGTCTCGAACGAAACAGGTTAACAATAGGAAGATTGTAGTTCATCCTTTATCTGCACTCAGACAGAATGTGAAACTTTTGATTTATACAGTAAGGCGACAATTTGACGATAAACTCGTATCGAATAACGAATCAGTAAGGATGAAACAACTGAACTGAGAGTGGCTACAACAGATGACTATAGAAATTAGACAGTAAATTCGCAAAACTACACCAGCTATCGGAAATTCCCGTTAATATGAGTAACAAAAAAGGTACAAAGTATTAGGTAGTAGTTAAATAATGTTACTATATCTACACGTAAAAATTTGTGAGTATGCTAATTTCTTTCCTGAAGTTATGATTTGGCGGCACGTTTCTCTGGTCCAGCTTCGAGTTTGTCCAAAACCTAAATTCCAATAATTACTGGTAGTGGAAAAAAAGGGGGCACAGATGCAGAGATTGTAAGGCGTGGTCAGTACCTACCAGTTGGATGGCCAACAAAGCCAAGATTTCGTTTATTTTTCACAAAACAGTAATTTACCTGGTTGGCACAAGTTGGAAGTCTCGTTCCAGGTCCGAAAATCAGCGATGCACCGGCTTTGTAGAGAGCGTCATAATCCTGTGGAGGAATCACACCACCAACAACCACTAGGATGTCTCTGGAATCAGAGTATCAGACTCCAGTCCTCCTCTAGTTCCCAGTGAAATCCCACTCACTCTCTTCCCAGCTTGGCAAGTTCCTGAACTAACTGGGGCACCAGCGTAAGATGTCCAGCAGCAAGACTGCTTGCTCCAACTACATGTACATCAGCATCTACAGCTTGCTGAGCAGCTTCGGCTGGTGTTTGGAACAGTGGTCCGACATCAACATCAAATCCTGAGAGTGGAAAGTGTCTAGTCTCTTTCTCTAGTGACTAGCCCCTTATTCGATTCAAACTGCAATTTAAATGCTTCTGAGCTCACCAAGATCAGCGAATCCAGTGGCTACCACTTTAGCTCCACGGTCGTGGCCATCTTGACCCATCTTGGCTACCATGATACGTGGTTGACGACCTTCCTTGGCAGCGAACGCCTTCACACGCTCCATCACCTCAAAGCAGTTGTAGCTTTAAATTGGTATTCGAACGAGTGCACAACGACCAGTATCACCTGGGCGAGTTCGTCCGTCTCTCCAAACTCAGACTTGTAAGCTCCTGACACCATTTTGTTAACGGCAGCATAACTGAAACGTGATATCTTCTTGTGTGTTTGCTAGCAACTTCTGCTAGACTGATAGATACATATAACAATTATTTACCCCTCCCTAATATTTTTGTGATTTGCTTCTTATATAGCATTGGTTATGTTTATGTGATTACCAAATTCAGAAGCCTGGTTGCGAGAACGAAAAGAGAGCGAGTACCGCTTGACTGTAGAGAATAAGGTTCACAATGCATCGTTCACGAACTCATACAGTCGCAGCTATAAGCTTTCCAAAACAAGTTGGGTTATTCGCCTTGTTGGAGCGATGACTAATCGGTGGTGCACAGGGAAAAGACTTATGCTCGAGAAACCGA